TAGTGAATTACATAGTGTAGGCAGGGCACGAAAGTTCAATTTAAATTTGATTAATTATAATACAGTAAAACTTCGTTTATCCGGATCTCAGTTATACGGATTTGCGATTATCCGGACTACTAACCGCGACTAATTTATATATATGTACATACTACAAGTCGAATTTTTGCAAGATTAATGCTGCAGTTTAGTATTTTTGTGTAATATAATCTAAGAAAATATGTATGTGTGAATTGTAAGAGAAAGAGAAAGTGTTAATTTTTTAATAAACATTGATTTTTATTGATATCTATATGTGTATTTTTATTCTTAATAAATACAACATTATTCTTCATACGATCGATTATCCATATTTTTAATTATCCGAATTTCCATCGACAACAATTAGTCCGGATAATCGAGGTTCTACTGTATCTGCAATAAATGAACTACATCACAACACATGACATGTTTTAAATAAACAACCATCGTACTGTGTTCAGTCGCAGTTAATTCCTAATTATAGAAATGTGTTTTTTACTATTTTTCTAAAATTTGTCGTCTGTTCTTTACACTCCACAGGCGGAATAAAATGGGACAGCCAGAAGGCAAACAGATCCAAAGTCTTATTTATAATTTTAAAAGGATTTAAGGCAATAATAGCTACTATATGCAACCAATGCAAAACATAAATATCATAAACATGAACAAATATCAATTTGGCAAAAATAACACTGTACATAGCCTTGATCTGGTTATTTGTCAGAAATATTCGTCAGCAGAGTTGTAACAACTATTAATTTTATTATTTCTAATTACTTTGATTTATTTTTTGTAATGTTTTATTGCCTATTTAACTGAATTTGCACTTTATTTACTATTTCTTATTGTTTACGTATTTGACTGGGTAAAGATTCAGTTGATTTTTTTACCCCACTCATGTGTAAGCTATTATAGAAGTTATGCAAAAACATCTGAATCTAACTAAAAATTAACAATACATCTTATAAAATAATTAAATAACGTATACCTAAAAATTGTATTAAAGTCTCGTAAATGAAACCACAGTGCTCACAACTAAAAAAACTAACAACAAAAGAAAATACTTTTGCTATGAATTTTCAAACATTGCCGTTCATCTGCTGATAGCGTTGTCGAAAGAATCTGGTGATAGCTGGTTATACATATTTTTACCTCTACTTTCAAATATTATATTAAAAAATTCCTAACTTCACTTGCTTTTGAGATATCGGTGGTAGACCTTTTAACCCACGTACCTTCAAACCGCGCCCTACTCTACTGTATCTCACATTGGTATCTACACAATATTGAGCATCAACACAAAATTGAAAAACCAATGACAAAAAAAATAAAGCGATAAAAAATGTGTGATATAAATTTATGTTTGAGCACAGCTCATCATGCTGTAATAAATATTTGTAAGTTGGTATGAATGAGATGCATTAAATAAAAATAATATTTAAAAAAAGTTTAATAATAAACATAGTAATGTGCGATATGACCCCCTCAGCGCTCACTCTACATATACCTCTCTGTTCAACGCCGACATACACACGATCAATATGATACTTGTCAAAGCCCCCGGGGGCAATATGTCATACACAGATTCCGGGTGTAGTATTAGCCGGACAGACGAAAGATATTATAAAATACATCATCCAACCAGATTGAAAAACTAGATGAAAACTTCTTTTCGACACCTGAATAAAAATGAGTGAAGTCGGTAACAAAAACGACACCACGAAAGGAACCGCATGGAGGAGAATAACTAGTAAGACTATGTATGATTATTTCTTACACAGGAGCCTGGTATTAGACATTTCAGTTAGAAATAAAGTATAGACACTTTGCCAATATATAAGTTCTTATCTATAAAATTCCATGTTGTTAATTCATGCCTTTTTCTAGTACATAAAATAATCATTTATTTTAATTTTAGAATTATTAAGAGAACAAATAAAAATTAATTGCAATAAAGTATGAGTATCATACCCTAAAAAATTCTATATAAAATGTGGATATTTCTATATAGAGATGGTTTATAGATAAGTTTGCCGAAAATGAAGTGAAACTTCTTCATGCGCAGTATAGTAAACATTAAACATAATTGGAGCACACTCTTCATTCATGATAATAATATACATGACTAGATTGTGCTTATCCATATTTTTTTCCAAAATAATAATTGCACAAATGTTAAGGACCTAATAAAATAATTCCGTACAAACTATTTACATTATTATGATTAATTTGTCATGGCAGTTTCGTAAAATAAAACTAATAAAAGGAAAATATTTTTTACGATTTTTAAGCCCAACGTAATCTAACAAAGTCGGACATCTACATGATAAAAATGAACGACCATGTTTAAATATTTATACCAAAAGTTTTTGGGTTGTGAGAGCACTATTGCTTAGTTCACTAGACCTTGATATAATTTTCAAGTATACGTTATCTAATTGTTTTATAAGATATATGTCGTTTATCCTGGAAACAAAAACATTAAAAAATAGTAAATAAAATTGCAAATTCATTTAAAAAGAGTAATTTTACAAGAAATAAATTAAATTAATAGTTATTTCAACTCTGCTGATGAATATTTCTGACGTTATACCAGATCAAAGTTGTTTACAGTGTTATATCTCTGTAAAAATGAACCTACGAAATTTATATTTCACATTGCTCGAATATTGTAACTATTATTTCATAAAATTCCTTTAACATTTAAAATTAAGCGATAAAAACACAATGGATCTGCTTGCCCCCCGGCTGTCCCATTTTATGCCGCCTATGAGATGATGATGACTAATTTCAGAAAAATAATAAAAAACACATTATTATAATTAGGAACTAACTAGACATTTTACTGAACATAGTTCAATAGTTGTTTGTTTGATGTTTGATACTTGTTATGTGTTGTCATGCAGTTTATTTGATTTAGACAAAATAATTACTTAAAGTAAAATTGGTCCCCACCCCGATATACCCTACATATTATTTTTATTATATCATTATATATGATTAGAACTAACTGTAACTACTACAAATGAAAAACAAAACATAATACAAAACTAGTGGTGTATGGCATCGTGCCTTGAGGCAAATTACTTGAACCTCCCGCACCGTAACGAAATGTTCGAGGAATTAGCAAGGATTAAAATTGAAATCTGAATTATTTTCGATATACAAAAATAAAATTTTTTGGCGAAAAAAAATAATTTTGCAATAAAAAAAACAAAAACAATTGTTTTGTCAACCCAAGCAAGAAAGTTTTTTGAATCATTCAAATCCGATGCTTAGTTCTCTTAAGAACTGCCATTTTTTGTACATATAGCTATGTATTTTCGAAATGGCTGGACCTGCTTTTGCCATAAACTAATCACAATTTCTTTCAATCATTACAAATTGAATGTTTTTTGAATCGTTCAAATTGGATACTCCGTTCTCTCAAAAACTCGATTACTATTTTCTGCACACTTTGTTCCGTATTTCCGTGACGGCTGGGCCTGTCTTTGTCAAAAACTAAGCACATTTCCCTATCAATAGGAAATCGAATGTTTTTTGAACCATTCAAATCGGTTAATCCGTGCGCCCGAAAACGTGGACGAAAAATTGCGGACACGCAAAACACATCAAATTTTTCTGAGGTAAGTCAAAATGTTCAGAAAACGCAGAAACGTGAAGATATGTAGAAAATTTTATTTTCGATTTTCGGCCCATTACTATAACTTACCCTAAGGGGAAGTAAATAACTGAACTATAGCTAACAAAACGGCGATTAATTATAATTAAAATTAATATTAAGAGTATAATGAAATGTGAAAAACTATGAAAATTTATTTTTAACTGGATTAACTCTAATTAATTAATAACATATTCGCTACGCACCACTAACCTAGTTTACTAAATAAAAATATAGATTCAATATTCAAAAACACGTAATGAGTACACATGACTCTGATTTCAGATGCAAGTGACTCAAATGTGTGAACCACATGTGTTTCTGTATGTATGAAAAAACAAACGACAAAGAAACTAAAAATTGAAATGGATACATTAAGTCTCGTATATATTAATTGTGAGAAAATACTTGTATTGTAAAACACAAAAATATAACGCAAAGAAGGAAACAAGATTTAGAAAACGGTTCTTAGGAAAATAAATAGAAACATTGTCTAAAATTACTTGATAATTTAAGAAGTATCATGCCTTTTATTAATACTATTTATGCATAACTGAAAAAAAAAGATTAATAAAAGCGCTTCTGTGGTATATTTGACTTGTAATATAAAACTATAGCAACGTCGATTTTTTTATGTCGTCAGTAATCGTAATTGAGTTTTGATTTTTATTTATTTAATTCTTGTGCTTAAAAAGTTCCATTTGATGCTGTCTTGAATCACCTATATAAATAGCATAGCAATCTTTACATTCAAATAATAAACTATATTGGATGTACGATGTATTTGTGTAAGTACTTAATAAAGATTACAAATATATATTTCATAATACTTCAATATCAGAATTATTATAATAAACCCTCTTCATGCATATTAGGTATGTATATATATAGTGAAAAAGAATTTTATTCCTTCATTTTTTTTTTCAAATATTGGCGAAATTGTTTGTCGATTAGATGTATTATTCTCGTCTTTTTCGAATGACACTCTCTTACAAAAGGAATGTAGTTGATTGCCATTTTTTTAAAGTGAATTATAATAATCAGACATGCTCTTTACAAGTACAAATATATAAATGAAAAAAAAAATCACTGTGTTTTTTTATCTTTTCTAATAATTTTCAATAAATGTGTATATTATATCAACTTCTAATTAAAAAAAATTCTATTAACATGTTTTAATAAAAAGATTTTGCCATATGAAGTGCCAGACCATACTTATTTTCTGTGTAACAACTTCTGAGGCATAAAAATCAATTAACACATCATACAATATGCTACAATTAATTACATTATAAATTTAAAAAATGGTTCTACTTACAGAATTCAAAGAGCAACACTAGGACGGTCGGTACAAGCACCATGGGAAACCCACCTGAAACGAAAGAAAATTTTAATTATTTTATGTTTTTGATATAGGTGAGAAAGTGCCAGGTACATAAAACACAAAAATGCACAAGAAGATACATTGAATATATATATATATATATATATATATATATATATATATATAAATAATATATAATATTTGCTTGGAATCTTGGAAATACTCAAACACATATATTGGTACAAGGACAAAGATTGTGTCATTTTTAGTAAAATTTTGAAATTTCAATATGATAGTGTATTTATCAAACTAACTCAAAAAATATGTTTCGTGCCAAACTATTCAGAATGACTTGAAATTTCGAGAAAGTAAAATTTGCAAACCAAATTTTCTTGCAAAAACATAAAATACTCATTTCGGAAACTAAAAAAATTGATTAATTAGTAATATTTAAATATTATGAAAGGGATCTATAATTATACTACAATAATATTCAGATAATAAAAATAAATATTTTAATAAATGGATGACTTTCATCTGAATGCACTACTCAGTTAATTAAAAAATAAAAATTAGAACTAAAAAATAGAATCCTTGTAAATTATTAAAATATATTTTTTATAATATATTATTTAATTCATTAATTATTAATTGTATTTTTTACTACTTCTTGTGTGACCCTCTTAAAATTATTCAATTATCAGTATTTAATAATATTTGATTTGATAGTTGATCTGATGAATTAAAACAATTTTCTTTAATAATAACTTTAAATAAGAAAAAAAAACAATCCAGATAATGTATATCTTGAATAAATAAAGGATATTTATATATTGTAGTTGATATTGCTTATATTGTAATTGATTACGACTATTAATATTACAAAGTTTAGACGTCGATCATATAAACAATTATACCGAAAAACCTTTAAGAGTAGAAAAGTAGAGTTTCAAAACTATCATGGCCGAATTCTTGCCATGGAAAATCCAGTTATACAAATATTAGTTTTAATTAATATTATTCCATTCTAAGAGATAATAAAAATTGTATGTAAATTTATTTTATAAAGCTTTCCTGATTATCCACAAATACTCATTGTCAGTAAATCGAAGAGCGAAAAATCGCGGATTCACGGGATCATTAATGACAATGAGACGTCGATCGCTTGAAACGCAACTGATCAAAATACAAAAAAATGCAAAATGCGAAAGAAAATCATTTCAGCAAATCAAACGGGGACTCAAAGGAAATTCGAAAGTATGAGGATTTCATAATAAGGGCGATTTTTCAATATTCACTGCAAAGTAAAGCAAACATAGATATTATTTGAAAAATGAATTCCGATGGTTACGAAGAAACTAATTAGAATATTTTCATTATAATATCATAAAAATTTCATAATATATATATATATATATATATTCTAAAAAATTAAATAAAATTGGCTTTTATTCATACGTTTTGAAACTAGATGTGAGTTAACAATGAACTAAAATAATATATAGAGTTAAATAAATACCCTGACAACAAACTAATATATGAATTGAACAAAAATAATGTATACCAAAAGAATACAAATTCAAATATAAACAAAAATAATGTATACCTTCAAAATATTAAAATGATAGAAACACATAATCATGTCTCAAATAAAAGTGTAGAACAGATCTAGATAAATCATGTAAAATACATAATAATTAAAATTAACTGTCCAAAGCCGAAAAATTAAAAATATACGTAATAAAAATAAAGTGAAAACATGGTGATAAATAAGATGAATCAGATTTACAAACATTAATTTTGATAACTCTTCAAAAGTAAAGTAGATCAACCACGATAAAAATTCAGCAAATCTTCTATAGTCTAGATTTTCTTCATTATGAAATATAAAATTAGAGGATGATCTGTTTTAAGTGTGTTTAAAATTAATAAGAGTACATTTTCAGAAAAATAAATATGTTGATTCTTTCTAATAAAAATATATAGAGAATTGGCGCCAATATAATAACAATTCCAACTAGACCAAACTTTATAAGCGACTTCGGTAGTGAAATCAGCCTTATATTTTTAAAGCTCAATGTATATATATTGACGTAAGGAATAAACTATAAGTCTGAAAAAGTTCATTTATGGCACTGTATGTTATACGAATTTTAACAAGGAAGAAATACTACAGAAGCATGTAGAAATTTATTGAAAGTGCTCGGTGAAGGCACAGTTTCTTATACCATATGCAAAAGATGGTGCAAAAACTTTGAAACAGGTGATTTCGACTTTTTGATCAGTGGAGGAGAACTTTGAACGACGACGATGCATTAAAGAAATGTTGGAGAAAGATCCTTTTCTGGCCATATTTAGAAGAGAGGATTGGTGGGGAAGTATTCAAGATCCGTGCCACATGAAAATGTCAGAAAAATTTGGATGATCAAGCTGCCACATTCTCATTTTGCTTGATCAGAAAAATCGAACCTTTTTTGAACCGGATGATGATAACTGGGAATGAAAAATGGTTTACACAAAATCCCTGATTATGATTTGTTTTTGTTCTTAAAAATTTTTTTGATGGGCAAAAATAAAAAAATTAAAAAGATGTCGAACAAGCACTGGTTGAATTTAAAGATGAATTTTTTTTTTCAAAAAATGGGACAAACAAATCACCCTCACGCTATCAAAACACCATTAATAATAATGGCAATTATTATTGTTCAATAAAGATAATTAGCAAAACAAAATGCATTTCATTCTACAAACGGACTGAACTTTCCGGTAGACTTGATATTTTGGTTTGTATACCTATAAGTACATAGGTATACAAACCAGTATATATCACATTTCCAAATTAAATAAAACTTTGGAATCATAAAGATATCATTACTAATATATTATATTATTCTTCCTTCTTAAATTGTTTGACGAAGTTGTTATCTCAACAAATAATATTTCTTCTATAATACCTAGAATCAACACAATTTTTCGCCAAAACTATGCCATTGCGACCTATTCCAGCAAACTTTGTATTACTCTGCCTATTATTAATTAATTATACTTTATATTTACTTTACGTGATTCTTTGTATTAACATAAAATTAAATAAGTATGTTAATAAAAATAATCCAGTAGTTATCCAGTTAGTAGTAAAAGGTATTACGATTGGTATAATGTATTACTATTATGTTTTTAATCAAGTTATTAATAAATAACCATGTGATTCTTAAATTTATGAAAAAGTTAGAGAGGCCATATATTTTAAATCTTCATAATAAATGATTAGTTATTAAGGTAAAAAGAGATTTCTTTCATTTGTTAAATAATTAAATAAATATTAATTATTAATAGTACCTGAGGAAATGGATAACATTATATCCCAGGAACGTTAAATAAAATAATGAGTTTTGTATAAATAAATATACAAATATAAAAGTCATTTAAATTTTGAGATTCATTTACAAATAAAAAAATAAGATTTTAATATTTTTTCAGCGTTTTAACTTTTTATAAAACTTTTGAATTTAATGGAATGTTTTAGACTTCCAGTAGAAACTCGATTAACTGGACTAATTGTTGTCGATAGTCATTCGGATAATCGAAAATCCGGATAATCGAATGTATGAAATGTGTTTATTACGAACAACAAGTACATAAATATCAACAAAAATCAATGTTTATTAAAAAATTATTTATGCATAAGTATTATGCATACTTATTATATGTATGTACATCATGGTGGTCCTTAATATGGACATTTTCGAATTTCCTTGCTCTTAAGGGCTCAAATGGTTCCAAATTGATAAAAAACAATTCTCTGAAAGTTTTAGCTCTTAATATTAACTTTTAGATAGTGCGCAATTCAATAAAGCTTCGTATGGAAATAGCATGGAAAAAATTTTGAAAATTGAAAAAAAAAATTTTTTTAGGTATAACTTAGCGACAAATGAATTAAAAGTGACAATTCGTGTCATTTTTTATTGAAAACACGACGCTGTGCAAAATTTTTGAAAATTTTTTCATGCTATTTCCATACAAAACTTTGATTGAATTGCGCACTATCTAAAAAACAATATTAAGAGCTAAAACTTTGAGAGAATTGTTTTTTATCAATTTGGAACCATTTGAGCCATTGGGAGCAAGGAAATTCGAAAATGTCCATATTAAGGGCCACCCTAATGTACATACATGTTTTCTTAGATTACATTTTAAGGATGCCACACATATATTATACTGAATTGGAATTAATCATGGAATGAAATATTTAGGTACTTATGTACGAATAATTTGTTTACAATATGTATTTGTAATTTACATTTGATAATCATGAAACAAGTAGGTAATAGGTTCAGTTTGGTTTAAAATATCTAGTAATTGTCATTTGACGTAAACAACTTTTCCTTCTCATAGGTGCTATATCACGAATTGGTCATATAAATTGGTCGCGGTTGGTAGTCCGGATTATCGGAAAATTAAGGTTCGGAAAAACGAGTTTCCATATATTATAAAAATAAGAGTAGATTATAAATAATACTCCAATAACAATATGTAAAAGATTTACTTAACACAAGTTCAATCTGGAAATAAAACTAAGTATCTCAATATATTCACATGGTTCCACATTCGCAAGTCTAATCAAGTCAATTTTATAGAAAAAATTAAAAATTCTTAAATATATACCTATGAAATTAATAACAATTGGTAACAAAGAGGAAAAAAGTGTCAAAATAAACGAAAAATATTAAATAAAGTTTGTGATAAATTAATTAATTGCAAAATTGCTTTCATAAAAGGAAAATTTTCATAAAGTTTACCAAAAGTGGATTAGATTTTTTTAACAAGTGTTGGATGATACAATAGTTTATACAAATAGCAGGTACGATTTATTGCTGCCTTCTCGAACACTTTCGAAACGGCTTCAGACTCTAAAACAATTCCCGACCTATTACATATTATTATACTGAAGCAAGCTGTTGCAGATGTCCGTAATGATGGCCTGTCTTAAAAAACGAAACATCTGCCGTCATCCATAAGTGCATAAGGCGAATGGCACATGATAAAAATGGACTTTTGTTCGTTTTTTATTTTAAAAAATTGGAAGAAAAAGACATCGAAGTATCAACATCGCCATTTTCGTCTCGAGTGCAGTTTTTAGCAATGTCGCCAAGAAAATGTGTTGATATGAGAAATAACGTTTGCTAATTCGTTTACAATATGATAATTGAATATAGTAAACTATGATTTATTTCTATTTAATTACATTTCTTAAAACTATTTA